AGAAACGGCCCAGAACCCGAGAAATGGGACCCCTTCCTTGCCCGTTGATTCGAGCATTGATGCGACTCTCATCGCTGTGCCCTCTTCAACACTACGCTCTCTCAGCTATCTAATCACTCGCCACGTATTGAACTACGGCGAGTGATCAGATGATCGGTGGGCGGAGATCGCCGGACCCGCCAGCTTTGAGGCATGATAGGTCGCCGAGGTCAAATTTTTCCATGCGAATTGCGCGTCATTTCGCACTTCAGGAGGTCCGTGGGTGTCCTTACAACTAGGTCAGTTTCTCTTTCTTCGACCTTCATTCTAATCGTGAAATTCCTCCTTTAATCTTTCAGCGAATAGACCTTACGTTCACGCGATTGCGCCTCCAACAATGGCCGCAAGTTGAAGAGTAAATACTTTTCGTTCTTTTATCTTGATCAAACTGAAGTCCATGAGACACTCTGGACATCTCGTCCCGACTTCTATCTGATCATGTGGAAATTAAACAGAAGTACAACAATCAAAAAATCTTATCAAAGAAGTCTAGGAGCGAGCACCACCGAGCAACCCCCCACCTTATCTTGAGAGCGTCTAAGCGGGTCACGATACCACACAAAGGAGACGGAGTGTTGCATGGTCCATTTGTTACTGCTGTTGTGAATTTGCTATGCATATCGATAAGAAATTCTGAACACCGAAGTGAAGCTACACTTCTGGGATACTATGTTTATCGAAAAAGGCAAAAAACTGTGTTGGTTTTTTTTAATTCATTCACAAGCTATACCAACACAGCTTCCACAAGGTAGTGCTGGTAAAAATTTGGAAAGAATTCATTCGCTTGTTTCAGCGATATCGGTGACAAATGGGATGGACCTATACTTTTGAGACCCACTGTACACGACAAGCGCTGCCCCTCATCACTTGTTGGATAGGAAAGGAGGCGATGATTCATGTAGCAAAACAGTGAATTGAATACGAAGCTCAGTTCTTTCTGAGCAGAACGCTTATATCTCTTATGCTTCATGCTTCGCTGCTTTACGCCGCTACTGTACACGCCTATCACAACATGGGTCTTCTATCTGCCTTTACCCTTGTATCGTTTTTTCTCTGCCTCTTATAATGAATATTCAATAACTCCTTTCCCTCATTTATTCCTCTTCTCTCGTTTCTTTATTCTCTGCTTCTCCAACTCATGCAACACGTCCATTCCAATGGCGCTCTTTTTGAACCTCGTGGTTCCACTTTCTTGTTTTCCGTCTCGGTCCTATCGTTTCCTCTCCATATTCCTCTCCAGCACAGCAATTCGTTTTGTTAGTTGGATTACCGGACTCCGCCCGTCTCTCTGATTTCCGCAGTTAATTGCTCGAATCGCTCATCAACACTTGACGGTTTCATCACTTTCACACTTGCGAGAGTTAGCCACGAGAACTCAGGCCACCATTTTTTGACAGAGGGTCATAATCGCTGATCATCAATCTCTTTCAACTGCGCTATTGTCATTTATGCTGTAAAAGTTGACTTTTCACAATAAAAATGACAGCTTCACGGCTTCTGCTGCCTTGAATGAATTTTATTTCATTAACTTCATATAATACTTAGCATATTCATCACTGGTCACATGCACACAGCTCATTTCTTCAATTTCATTTTCATGTGTCTTCATATTTTCGGATGTTGCCTTATTCATTTGTACTCAACTCCAATTTTCATTTCAAAGCCATACCCTTCCCCGTAACATTTCTTTTCGTTAAGGTCCTACATTCAATATTTGAAATTCTTCCTGCGTTGAGGTGGTAGAGCAAACAGGGTCAATCCTACGTTGTTACTAGTAACAACG